TGATCCAATACTGCTCCTCTAGGATCAGAGAGGAGATGAGCTAAGCTAAGAATACCCCAACCTACACAGATTCTAGGTTGATGGCCTGAATGGTGAAATGAAATACAGAGACTCCTAGCTCTGTACTAACAGAGGTTCGGTAGGGACAACTCCCTCTGAAAGGAATTGGGAGTGGTCCTGGTTGATCATGTGGATGCCGGGCCAGATTCTGAGCCCTAAGCATTCAGATCTTCAAGCCTTCCGCAGCCAGCTTTGGGATGGCCACGTTTCTACAGTTCTAGGAGCCTTGGTTTCCTGAAGGTGATCAAGATTCCCAGTGGCCTCCAAATCCTTCTTTGGGTCAGTGATTTGGAGCCTGGAGCACCTGGGGTACCTGCGTAATGTGTTTCCCATTGCTATTATCAGCACACCCAGTGGGTTACTGCATCCCCACTGAAATGAGTGGTCACCTAACTGGAGCTAGTCAATGACATTCCAATGACAGGACCCCTGAGCAGAGCATCCATTCCCCACTTTGTGTTGCCAAATCCTGATTATTCTTTTCTAAACTTTTTTATTACACTTTATTTATTTACTTTGTGTCACATTGGGAGGGGAAGTGCATGCCCATGCCCATGCCGTGGTACATGTGAGGAGGTTAGAGGACAGCTTGTAGGAAGTGGGCCTCTCCTTCCACCATGCAGGGCCCAGGGATGGAACTCAGATCAGAAGGACCTGCAGCAGGTGCCTCTCCCTGGTAAGTCATCTCTCCAGCCCCAGATTATTCTTTTGATGGAACAGTGCTCCTATCGCCTCTTCCGGGGATCCGTCTTTGAATGAATGCCCAAGCTGAACTGAAGGACTTTCCTCTGGAATCCCCTAGTCACTCTTGTATCATTCGTTATTTGGGTCACACTCGGTAGCTAACTTTCCTGGGGTGGTGATCAGTTTGTGGGCAGGGATTACTTTATCCTAAGTTCCACATCTTCAGCATCAAGCTCCAGCCTGCCATGTAGCAGGTACTCAGTAAATAGTCATTAACGAGGGAACGAACAAACGAATGAATGAATGAATGAATGAGGTGACCCCAGAACACATTGTTGAGGAGAGGGCTGAACACTCTATGCTCCGGATTGTGGGCAAATCACCTGCTTACTACGCTGGGACAGCTTATCTGTAAAGGAGAAAGCGAGGCTGATCCAATTTCATTTTCAAGGTCGTTTAGAATAACCAGCCATTGATGTGAAAGATCAGGGGTGCTGGTTCTGCCCCTTCAGCTCTGCAGATAAGAGGTCCCGGTGGGGCAGAACTAAGCCATGAGGCCAGCATCAGCCTCTGGTAATAGCAGGCCAGCTGGGTACTCTGCTCTTCCCAAATCCCTCACACTGTTTCCTTCTGCACCCTGAGGTCTATCTTGCAGAAGCCAGCTGCAAAGTCGGAAGTAGGTTTCAAGGTCACTCGATATTCATGGAAGTGGAGTCTCATGAAACAGAAGAAATCATCACAATCTCTTTTATTCTGCCATTCACCAGTGCCCCTTTGCTAGAAAGTTCTGCAGGTATAGGCGGAGATGCTGAAATTCAGGTCAATGACATTCATGCCTCCTCTTAGAACAAAACGTTCCTGCAGCAAGCTCCTGATTTCCTGTTGGACTCTGGGTCCTCCTGCAGCCCCCCGTGAAGGGCGGAGGCTTCTATCCTGTTTGTTTAGAAAGCTTAACAATGGGCTTTGGGGGAAGAAGGGACCCGTTGCAAAGGCTCCTGACGAGCTGTACGGAGCAAGCGATGCCACCTGAATAATACATGCCCACTTTGTGTGTGTGCCCGACGCGGGCTCGAGTGCAGGGGAATGGCAAAGGCTTTGAAGCACCTGCTCTAAGCAGCTCTGGTGACAGCCCGAGCGTCCAGATAAGATCTGAGCCCCGCGTCCTCCCCACCTCCTCCCCGCTCACCATGCCGCCCCATTTCCCTTTTTGCATTTAAAATAAGCTCTGAGACAAGCCTCTGAGAGAGCTTGTCAAAGATGCAGCTTTTGTGTGGCCCACGTTTGTCCCTTCCTGTCGGGCCCTGCCCTGGTCTAAGACCTTCTCATAACCAGTGCAGGTGCAGTGATGTTAGCCTCCCAAATGGCCATCCTGGCAGTCCCCCATGGTGACCTCATAAGCTACCGCTACGAGGAAGCAGCTAGTACCGTCCTTCTAGAAACACACAGGCCACGTGCCCTGATGCAGACCCTAAGATGCCTGGCTTAGCCTTCAGACCCTTTTCGTCTTTCTAGAATGGCACTGTATACCTGCCCCAAACCTTCCAATAAAGTCTCCTTCATCATCTCAGGTTGCTGTTAGCCTTCTCAGTTTGGCACATGAAGTCTTTTACAATGTTGTTTTTCCCAGTCTCCCAGAACACATGCCTGTCTGGCTTGAGCCCACATGTCTGTGTTCCCTGGAGACCCTCACAGCAGCAGTGACCACAGTGGACCAGTGTCAACACACTGTTGACGCATCTAGTCCGAGCCCATTACCTACATCCCTTGCTTTAACCCTTAGAACACTGAAGTACACACATTTCTTTTCTTCATCCTGTGGACAAGAACACTGAGCTTCTAAATAGTAAAATGACTCACCCAAGGTCAGAGAGCTACAAAGTTGGGAGAGGATTCAAACCCGCATTGTTTACTCACCACATAACATTGACGCACATAGGGCTGTTTCATCAGATCCTTATCTTGAAGATGGTCCAGGCTCTGTACTCTAAAGTACGGTATTCGGAGCAATTTAAAACATACCCTCCCCACTTCAAAATCTCACCTCTTCCCTCTCTTGCATAAGCTAAGATTTCTTTTTCACCATGATGTCATGAAACCTGACCTCCCTTCTTCCTCCAGGAGGCCCCAGGCCCCCTGAGTCAGAGCAGGATCCTTTCCTGGCGTAGTCTGTGGCATTGATATTGGAAGGACGGCTGCCTCTAGGTATGTTTGACAACTTTTTACTATATTGTGAACAGATATGTGTATAATATTTTTTATAAATTGTTGAATTTGGGGATAGGGAGGTGGCTCACTTAGTAAAGTGTTTGTCATGCAAACAAGAGGACCTGAATTTGATTCCCTGCACCCACGTAAAAGAAGTTGTTCTCAATGGTGCATGCCTGTTCCCAGCACTGGGGAAGTAGGCAGGAGGAGCCCCGCTGATTGCTAGCCAGCCGGGCTATTCGCATTGGTGAGCTCAAGGTTCAGTCAGAGACTGTCTCAAAAAATAAGGTGGAGACACCTGACATTTATCTGTGCCCTCCACATGCAGATGCATGCTCATGCACACACACACACACACACACACACACAAAGCACACGTAGTTTATGGAATTCAACACAATGCTTTCTAAGGACATATAAGGTATAAACAGTAGAAGCACAGCCATCAGTGTGGCCCAGTTTATCAGCACGGGCCTCCGTCCATCTTCTCCCTCCCTTGCCCCATCTCTCTAGAAACAGCTCTACTTTCCCTCCATCCAGGTTGGTACCCTTTATTTTCTTTAGGGCTTCACCACTCGTTTGAATTCCTAAAAATTACTGTTCAGCCTTGCGCATTCTGAACTTAGTGTGAATGGAATCCCAGGGAATGAATTCTCTTGACAACGTGTGCTGTTTTGCGGCTGTTGCCGCTCGCTTGGGTTTTTGGCTCGCAGTTATGTTGCTGAGATTCGCCCGTGTTGTTCTATGTACCTGTGTTCCATTTGTTTTCAAAGCTGAACAATGTTCTACTGTGGGGCTCTGCCAGAGTGAACTTACACATTCCACTCCGGTGTACATTTGGGTTGTTTCCAGCATTTCCTGTGACAAGCTCCTCTGGACTGATTGCTCTCTGTGTCTCCAGATGTATTAGATTCTCCAGGGTGGGTACCTGAGAGAGGCAGGGCTGGCATCACGAGCACACGAGCTTCCAATGTCGCTAGATAACGGCAAATTGTTTAGCAAAGTGATTGTACCAATTTGTACCCTCTTGAGAACTCTAAGAGCGACTCCCCCGCTCCCTACCATTGCCAAAACTTATTATTGCCGGATATTATCATTTTTGCCCATATGGTAGGTAGGAAATAGGATCTCATCATGGCTGTAATTTACGTTTCCCTGTTTATCAGACTGAGCCACACACTCCTCCTGCATTGGCCAATGAGCTCCCTGATTTGTGAAATCCTAGTCACATCTTGTGCCCATTTTTCTATTAGGTCATTCATTTAAAAAAATTATTAGCGTGTGCATAATGTGTGTATGAGAGAAGCTGTTGTGTGCTTGTGGCAGTCACAGGACAACTTTGGGGTACCGGTTCTCTCCTTCTCCTTCAACAATGGGTTCAAACGCTGGTCATCAGGCTTGTCGGCAAGCCTTTACCCATTGAATCGTCTTGCCCATTGGTCCTAAGGCAAGGAACAATATTTTTTTCTTCCTGATTCTTTAGGAAGCCTTTATCTTGTATACAAACATTTTTCTTTATATACATAATAAATATCTTTACACCTTAAAGTTTATATTTTCCTTTCTTTTGGTATCTTTTGGATTTATTATTTTTTTAAAATCTTTCAATCTTTAGTTTTGTATTTTATATTTTCATATGCATATATAATTTATTTTAAAATTCTTTAGCTTTTTATTTCCTCTTAGTGTGTACTCTTTTAGATTCTATTTATTCTTTGAAGATTTCATTTGTATATACAATGTGTCTTGACCATATCCATACCTCAAGCCCCTTTCCTCCAGCTCCCCCTGTACCTCCCATCATATAGTCCTCCCAACTTCATGTCCTCCGTTCCATTTATTTATTTATTTATTTATTTATTTATTTGCTTGTTCATTTGCTTATTTCAACCCACTGAATCCAGTGAGTGTTGCCCATATGAGCATGAACATCTGCCGGGGCATAGAGAACCAACACAGTGGCCATACTCCTAAGGAAAAAGTGAGTCTCCCTCCTCCAGCAGCCATCCACAGCCAATCGTTCCTCAGCTAGGTGTGGGGTCTTGGAGGTCCCACCCATTCAGTGCTTTATGAATGTGAGTGTCGTCCTTGCAGAGGGGCATGCTAATCTTCTGTGTATTGTTCCAATGTTTTTAGCATATGTTCCATGGAAGTAGCACACTGGAAGTTTTAACTGGCTTGATCTTGTGCAGGTAGCCACAGCTGCTGTGAGTTCATGTGTACACGTTGTGTCCCAAGGACAGCGTTTCACAGCACTCTTCCTCCGGCTCTTACACGCCTACCAGCCACCCCCTCTTCAAAGGGGCCATTGTGGGGGTGCACTTAGGGAAGAGGCCTAAGAGAGTACAGGTGAAATGAAAGAGAAGGGGTGCTGGGGGCAGAAGTGCCTACCAGCCACCCCTCTTCAAAGGGGCCATTGTGGGGGTGCACTTAGGGAAGGGGCCTAAGAGAGTACAGGTGAAATGAAAGAGAAGGGGTGCTGGGGGCAGAAGGGTTCAAGCAGGTAGTGGAGCAATGGGGGTGGGGAAATGGAGGCTCATGTTGAGGTTTAAACAAGATGAAGCATTTGTGAAGAAACTACTTGGGAACTTATGCTCTCCCAATCCAAGTAAAAAACTATGACTAAAACATATGTTACAGGAAAGAACCAGGGTGGGGGGATAGTAGAGCTAAAGGCTTAGGCAGGGATGAGGATAGGGTATGAGGAAAGGAAGATTAGAGGCTAGGTTAACCAAAACTAGGGTGTATGAATAACCAACATTTGGGATATATGAAAAATCTTTATAAAACCCCACTAGTTTCTAAGCTAGTTAAAGATATATTTTTAAAAGGAGTTTGAACATAAATACCCCACATTAATGAGCAATGCTGCTCTCAGAATACATGGGCTATTAAACGAATAACCCATGTGGCAGGCATGGGATACCGCCCATACAAGTTATTGGTCAGAGAGGCCCAGAGACTCCAAAACAACCCAGGCTATTGCCACTGAGCTTCACTGCCCACCACAACTAGAGGAGAAGACCATATTCCCAGAGACACCATACAATTTGGTTGCAGGACCCAGAGAAACCAATCTTGGAAACTCTCTCTGCTGGGTGAGTGGCTTTTATAGTGATGAAAAGTGCTATGCAGGCCACTGATGAGAGAAAAGACACCATCGATCTTATCCAGCGCCAGTCCCTACATGTTACAACGTTGACCTGCCAGGCAGTATGTGGCCACAGTTGCAATAATGGCATGACTGTTAATGGGGTAACCAAGCACTCTCTTGACAGTATTTGAGGCTTACTTCATGGGGGAGAATTCATACAGTGCTGTAAACATGGCCAAGATCCATGGCTAAAAAGGTCAGGTCCTAGGAGAGAAGCTATTGATGCTCTTCTGCTAAATGGTCATGTTGTCAAATTGTATCCTCAATATTTATGTTTATATCCATAGATTTGTGTTGTTCTCAACCTTGGTCATAGAAGGTCCATATTGCAGAAGATGGTGATGAAAGCAAGGATCACAACTGGTCAAAGTTCTGAGAATAAGCAATTGTGACTGCTCAGCCGTAGACGGGATGGCTATATTAATGTTTTCCTTTAAGAGCTGTACGCTTTTTTAAATTTTTAATTGAATTTTTGTGTATTCCCCTTCCCCTTTGGCACCCTCCCATAGCCCCCCACATACATACTGTCATTTGCGTTAAGGCCTAATTGACTAAGATTGGGGCCTGCTGTTCATTTCCACAGTTCCACAGTTCTGTGCTGGGTCTTCGTCTGCTTAAGTTTGCATGAGTCCTCTGACACCATTGTTGTAAGTTCATATGAGAAGAGTCCAGGGAGCCTGTAGGACTATTTCTGTATGGTCGTGGACCTCCTCCCTGGCTCTTACAATCTTTCCATTCCCTCTTCCACAATAGTCCCTGAGGCCTGAGTGGGTAGATTTTGATATAGGAGTCCTGTTCAAGGACCCACACTCTGCAGACTCTTATTCTCTGTGTTTTAGCCATTTGTGACCTTTTGCTTTCCTGGACCTCTGTTGCCTTATTTAAGAAATCACTCCGCACACAAGTTTGTTGATGTATTACCTTACAAGATCTTCCACACTGTTATTGCTTCTGCTCTTTGCACATCTCTTTAACCCGAAATTCATTTTTGTGTATATTATGATATAAAACTATGCTTTCTATGTGGATAACCCATTATCCTGGTCCGTATTTTATAGAATCCCTTCATTTACCACTGATTGGCAAAGGCATGTCCACTCATCAGTTAAACACACATTCTCTCTTCTTTCTCTCTTGACAGACTCCTCATCTGTTTCGTTGGCACATTTGTCTAATCCGGGGACAACATCCCACTGCTGGAATTAATGTCTCTACAGTCAGTATTGACATCTGTTGAAGTCTCCATTCAACCTTGTTTTTCCTCACCTCTCCCTTTTCCTGACATTTGTACTTCTGCATAGATCGCAGAATCTGCCTGTCAGTTTCAACACACTCACATGCCCATGCAACTGGTTGGGAGGGTGTTCGAGTTACAAATGTGGTGATAAATTTAAGGAGAATCTTCATTACTGACAATTGTTTGATGTTGATTTTCCAATTCATACATTTATACTCTCTCAATTTCTGTACCTCTTTAAAGTCTCATTGTAATTTTTTCTTCACTTCCTCCATGAGTGTCTTAAAGCTCTTTTGTTAAGTCTATCACTCAGTTCCTTATATTTCTGATGATGTTAACAATAATATATCTTTAATTTTTATTTTATGTACATGAGTGTTTTGCCTGCTTGTATGTAAGTGCACCTGTGTTGTGAAATACCTTCTAGGTCAGAAGATGGCATTGGATCCCCTGAAACAGGAGTTACTGATGGTTGTTAGCTGCCATGTGGGTGCTGGGAACTGAACCTGGGTCCTCTACAAGGACCAATGCTCTGAACCACTAAGCCATCTCCCCGACTCCTAATATATTTTGTATCCGTCCCATATCTGGGTATAAAAGTTTGATTGGTTTTCATATCTTGCTTTGGGGTCCAGAAAACTTGCTAAGTCTCTGACACATTCAAATGGCATGTCTGGTCATTCTGGGCTCTCCTTGTGGGTGATCATTTTACTAATGAGAGACAAGACAGGCGTTACTTCCTCCTGAAACCCTACACCTTTGCTGCCTTTGTCTGTGGTGTTGCTCTGTCTAGGTCGAACCTCTGCTTCAAGGATGACTGGTGTGTTGACAGAGCCTTGGTCTCTGACCTCAAGGTGTTGAGTCTTCAAAGGCAAGTCCGATGAACATTGTGGGGTCTGTGATTGATTTTACCTTCCATTCCCAGTTAACCAAGAGGTTTTTCTCAGGAGTGGATATGATTTTCATTACATTTTCTTTCCTTTCTGCCAATAATTAAGAAAATCACTAAGGTCCCAACCTTAGCTGAAAAACTACTGGCAGCTGATTACTGAGGGGTGAGGGAGAGTTGATCCTCTTTAAGGGAGAGACTCTAGATAGACTGACTAGACCTCAGTGGATGAACTTGCACTGAGAGACATCTGGGTATACAAACTTGACTCAATAAGCCTTAACATATATGACTAAATTCATGAAATCCAGTGGAGGGGGTACTATGGGGGGTATGGATGGGAGAGGAGGCCTAAATATGATTAAGATGTTTTGTATGACCAGGTGTGGTAGCATACTCCTTCAATCCCAGCACTCAGAAGGCAGAGGCAGGCAAATCTCTGTGAATTCAAGGCCAGCCTGGTCTACGTAGTGCGTTCCAGGTCAGTTGGTGCTACAGGAAGACCCTCTCTCAAAAAGACCAAAAGAAAAAGATGTTTTGTATGAAATGCACAAAAATTAAATAGAAATACACATTGGAAAGAAGAAAGAAAATTGCTGTGGTTGTTGTCAGTGTTAATTGTCCATTTGACAGAATCTAGAGTCACCTGGGAGGCTGGTCTCTGGGCAGACCAGTGCGGGAATGTTTCAGTTGCATTGGCACTGTGGGTGGTGCCGATTCCTGGCTGGGGTCCCACACTGAGTAAGTGGAGAAGGGGAGCTGAGCAGCATGCACCATCCCTCTCTGCTCCCTGATTTGGATATGATGCAACCAGCTGATGCAAGCTCTGCTGCCCTGACTTTTTGACCGTAGGCAGCTTTATGCTGGGGCTATGAGCCTGAATAAACACTTTCTCCATTAAGTGATTTTGTCGGAGTGCTTTATCACAGCACTGGGAAAAGAAACTAAGACAATCACGTAATTTTTCCTATATGGTGTCAGTAGTTGGTATTATCCCCATTATCTCAACCGTACTAGTCTAATTTCTCTGTTATTACCATAAATACTTGCTGTAATCAGCTTGTAAAGAGGAAAGAAAGATCCCCTTGAGCTCACAGGTTCTGAGGTTCTAGTCTCTGCTCTGTGGCCCCGTCGATTTGGGTGATGGTGAAGCAGTCCATTCTGGAGAGAGGAGAATACAGCAGAACAGCTCAGCTTGTGGCAAAGGAAGCAAAGACAGGAAGGGATAAAACCCCACAGTCCCCACACCTGAATGATCCAAAGGCCCATTTGTAACAGGTCCCAGATTCTACCACATCCTGATACATAATCTCTGGAAAAGACGCACTGACAGTTTTTGAGAGTGAGTGTACTGCTTCTCTTATAGGAGGCGCTTTTAAGGATATAAACTGGTATTTCTTTGGATGTATCATGCAAATTTTCAATTTAAAAAATCACTCTACCCTAAATCTTTATAATTTCTACTATAATAATGCTTTGATAACTGAGTTACACAAAGTTATACATCTAGAACAATGCCTGGTTGTACAACACTATAACCTGAGCTTGGGGAGCCTAAAAGAGGAGGATTGTTGAAAGTTCAAGGCCAGTCATGGATGCATAGAAAGACACCGCCTCAAAATCCCTAAAGACAAAACAACAAAAATTCACCATCCAAGATACAAAGTATAGTATCAGTGTTAAACTAAAAGTGACCCAGCTTGGGCGGCATTTTAGTTACTTTTCTGTTGCTATGATAAGATACCACAGCTGAAAGCAACTTATGGAACAAAGGGTCTATTTTGACTTATGGTTCCAGAGGGATAGAGTCCATCATGGTAGAGAAGGCACAGCATGCTGCCAGCATTAAGAAGGTGACTGGTCACATTTTATCCATA